CCCACCGACGTGTACACATACACGAAGGGAGGGTGTTAACAGACAGAGCTAGGCTCTCTCCAGTGGTGCCCAGTGACAGGGCAAGAGGAGATGGGTGCAGACTGAAACACACAGGGTTTCACATGAACATCAAGAAACACATTTGTACTGTGGGGGTGACTGAGGATTGGCACAGATTACCCAGGGAGGTTGTGGAGCCTCCCCTCCTCAGAGAAAAGCTGCCTGGCATTTCCTGGGAAATCGGCTCTAGGAGACCCTGCTTGAGCAGCAGGGCTGATGACTTCCAGAACTTCCTTCCAACACCAACCATTCTGTGATTGTGTGAAATGGTGTTTTCAAACTAATTGGGACTATGCCATTATACTGTTTGGCTAAATATGCTCCTCATCAACAATCTTCAGTGACTAGGGTAATTTAATTTGCTATGAATAGGAGCATATATTTACACAGTATAATGAACAAGAGAATCAGAAGAGATTCACAGGTTTATCAAAACCTGACACACATTTTTTCATAAATCATTACCTCACCTCTTGCTCATAACCTGCTGTATTTTCAGCTCCAGTTCTTGCTTCTCCTAAATGTATCGGCAATTAGTACAGTAATTAATTTTCATTACTAGTTTTCACCATGAGCATGCTCTAGTAGCAGAGAAATCCATAATAATTAAATTATGCATCTGGCTCGTAGGAAAACCAATCTGGATTAACGAGACAAGAACACCGCTGAATGACTATTTCAGTGTTACTCTGGCAATACAACTATCATAGCATGTTTGCTCCCCTTCACTCTTTATCCCTTCAAATGCCAAACAGTCAATGTTCTGATGCAGGCCCAGCTCAGAGCCATAAAACCAAAACTTTTCATCTCAAGAAAAATCAAATCACAAAAAATCATGCTTAGTGGAGTTTACACAGTAATTGATTTAAAAAAAAAAATAATGAGACAGATTATGAAAATGCTTGACAGTTAACCAAAGCCGAGAATAAACATTTCTTCTTTTGTAGAAAGTGTCTAGTTGATTACAGAGGTATTGCCTTTAGGTCTGTCCTTAGTTTACAACAGAGGAAACTGGATAACTGTAGATGACCCATATTACTTGCAACAGTAAAACTAGAAGCACATTTTATGAGTATGAATTCATAAACTGAATTTGTAGGTTAGAGTAATATTCCTAAAATTGAACCAGTCCTCAAAAAGTTGATTCTGTGAATCAGAAACAGGCATTCAAATACTCAGAAGACAGATGAGGAAAAATGAAACCTGCTCGTAGTCAAACAGAAAACATAGGAAGGTTTCCCAGAAATACAGAAACCTTAATCAGCTGCCTTCTACTTTCTCTTTAGTCAGGAAAGAAAAAAAGAAAAACCTGTAGTAATGATGGGGACCCTTTGTGATAGTCATAATATTAAGTATTCTCTTTTTTTGTTTCAAAATTACAAATGTATTTTGTCAAAATATCTGTATGCATAGCTATACATTAATCTTAAATTTCTAACTGGTTTGCATTGGGATAAACACACTGGTATTAATGCTATTAAATCCATATTTTTTGTTATCACAATGCTATAATAAAAACACTGGAGCTAAGGAAAGCTGGTTATCGTAAATTCATCAAGTTTCACAAGCTAGAATTCACCTTAGTTTTTTGTAAAATAAATGTCACAAATTGCCCTATCACCTATACTGCTAAAAAGAAAACTAGAAAATTTAGGTTCTGGCTTTGTAAAGAACTGTCCAGCTTTTACTTTGGAATGGTCACCACAGTAAATATTTTTAGGGTATTCCTCTACAGGCTCTTGCACTCCCTTCAAAGAACTGCCTCCTACAATTGTCAAAAAGCAATATCCCAATATTATCTCTCATCAGATTATCTTTATCCTTTGTTTCACACCATCAACACACATTCAAAGATTAAATTTCTTATGCAACTCCTTTCTAACAAAATTACAGCTACTGGGAATTTCTCTTGCCTGGTTTTAGCAGGTAATGGCACTAATTCATACAGTATCACCATCAGGAGGTGTAAGAAAAGACAGTTAAAAGTCTGAAATAAATATATGGTAATTCTGATACAATTTAGAAATATGTAGTGTTTAACAGCTCACCATTTCTCAGCAAAATAACTGCCTTCATCTTTGCTTCCTACTCCCACTCCAACTCCAAACCCTCAAAGTTGGTGAAGCAGTAGGAGGCAAAAACGAAAAGTAATTATTTTCTATGAAATAGAAGACTGATATTAAATTAATTTCAAGATCACCAGAATACATTCTATCCGTCCACAGCTTCTTTGTCCCCACAAGAAATAATGTTTTCTAATTTCTCTCTTTTTCTATTTAAGAAATTATAGCATCGACTCGAGTAAATATTTTTAAAAAATAGTACCTGTGGCTGAAACGGTGGTGCAGTAGGCCCTTGCATTCCTTGGGACTGTTCATCCATTCTACCACGTAAAAGTGTCCCTTACGTCCTGAAAAGAGAAATACAGTCATTACAGTGTAATTCAATCTGTATTTATGATCAACGAACATAAGAGGAACTTAATTTTCTCGTTTGCATGCTTGAGTTTACCAACATTCAACTATTGCAGCCCTGGACTGTTTTGGAAATGAAGGTTTCTTATGTTTAACTGTTGTACAAAGTGAAATAAATCACTATACGCATCTGAATTTATTATTAAGAGACGTGCATTAAACTACCTGAGCCAGACAAATGGCTCTGCCTGATAAAAGCCACACTGCCCCACTACACTTCAGAGGCATCAACCACTTGCTAACTTCACAGATGTCTGCCGACCAGTACCTCAGACCTACTGGGAGCATGGGAAACGGCAGATCATGCATACTGTTTATGTGGCATTAATGCAAGAGTAGTTCCATCTATACAGGAAAGCAGCTAAACGCGTACACATCACGTTCTGACAAGCTAGCTAAGAGGGATCACATTAGGAGCACAGTCTCTATTCCCAACTACAAACCTCCCATATTCCACCGGTAAGATGGGAGCTTCGCAGGTGTCTTTCCTCCCAAGACACCAACACAAGGCTTCGACCAATAACAAGGGTTGCAAAACGCGCAGTATCGTTATCAGGGAGAACAGGAGAGACAAAAAAACAAATGCTCATGAGGCTTTTTCCTCAGCTACACAAACCTTTTCAGAGGCTATCCAATATTTTGTTGAGAGGGAGAAGGTGCAGCACCCAGTTCTACTGGTGGCTATGAGGGCCACCTCTGCTCGGATGAAGACAACAGAAAGTTCACTGGCAGCTTCATATGCAAACAAGGAAATAAGCTTTTATACAAATAGGAGGCAAGCCCTGAACAACCTTTTCATCACACAAACAAGAAGTGTCTCTGCCCACTGCCTAATGAAACCTGCCAAGGCCTTCAGAAGAACAAGTGCCATTTGAAATGTGTTTTGACTGGAAACCAGTTTCCAGTGTCTGACTGGAAACCTATTCGTGCTCTGGAATTGATTTTTCATTTATCTTACTTCCTGCTTCAAATCCCAAAAACTCTAAAGATGGTTTGACACAACTTCTGCCAACAAAGCTACTGATGCTTCACAAACTTTCTTTAGAATGAATATGTAAAAGTTTCTCAAATAGCATTTAATGTAAGTTCAGCATAGAATTACAGAATCATTTAGGTTGGAAAGGACCTTTAAGATCATGGAGTCCAACCATTACCCTCACACTGCCAAGTCAACCAAAGTGGAAGCATGAAAGCATACAATCTACTATCTCTGATCAAACAGACAGAAAATAAAACTTCCCAGCAATTTCTTTAGAGAATATTAAGAAGGCTAGAAATAAACAAAAGGAACAAGCCTTAGAAATGTTTTTCAAAGTCCACTACAAAATATTTAAGAAACTCTAACAAGTAGCTTGTGTTCACAATACTGTCGTTGTTCTTACAGCATCACTGGGATAACGTTACTAATAGAGAAAAATAATCACAAAGCAGCTCTGCCAAGTTCCTCAACAACCTGTCCTAGCGTACTAAACAGTGGATTGGATACACAAACCAAGTCACTAGGGATTTGCTTTCACTCCCCCATCTAAAGCAGTCATCCCATGCCGTTCACTATTCGTCACACCAAACCACAGCCATCCTCCAGAGCGACGTCCCCGCAGCTTTGCCTTGCACTCCTGGATAAAGCACACAGTTTGTAAACTTTCTATTATTCTGTCTCAGTATTAGCTGTAAGTAATCCAAAGATAAGAGAGATCCAAAAAGCAATTTCAGGCAGGTCAAAAGAAAAAAATTAAATTACCAATCTGAGGTGAGAGGCAGAGAAGACGAGGGATGAATTGCAGATTTCTAAGACTATCAGAATGAGCACGGCAAGAAAGGGGGAAAAAGCTGGAGGATATATGCTGTGCATACACTACAAATGAGGCAACCTTCTAGCCAGCCCTAGGACACCAATATTGACGATTCTTGCAAGTTCTACATCTCCCATACAACCTCCCTACCAAGGCAAGAGATCATACCACAACAGCACCGAAAATGAAACTGTTGTCAGAAGAACGCACCTAAATTCTCCAGTTGGATTCCCAGAGGTTTATGCAGTTGTGACAAATTCTGGGGGAAGAATGCACGGTAATATTACGGAATCTCCTGTAATTTCTTGCCATAGTGATCTTTCTATCACTGCCAAGAATCCAAGAACTCTTTTCTGAAGTGCTATTTTGAAGAGTCTTTATAAGAATTTTAATGTTTTTGATACTATCAATAAGTCTACTGAAAGTTTTGCGATGTACTTTACCAATATGGTTACATCTCGAAGATTGCTGAACATGGAATGCACCAATAGATAATTCCTATGGGTCACAAACACTTGTTTCAAAATCCTCAGGGAAAAGAACTAAACAAACAACTCTTTTATCCTCTATTGCAGACATTTATCCAAGACTAATGAAGCCTAAGCTGAAACACCCAGAGGATGTATGTTGGTTCAGGTACTATATAACCCACTCATCGGAAAGGTCAGAGGCACTGACTGGAAGTGTTTGGGAATTTGTCTTCCTCCCCCCCCGCCTTATTTTTCCCCTCTCCTTTTCTTTTTCTTTTTTAAATTTGGGGAAAGGGTAGGAAAGGAAGAAGTCATATCATTACCACTGCCACTGGCTCTGCCCTCTGTGGCTTGTTTTTATAACAAAAGCAAGCAAACTAAAGAGGTAACAAATGTTCTACCACAGGAAGCACAGATGATTTATAACTTGAGGATTTCTTGTTGCATTTACAGAGGAAAGGCAAAAGATCAGTATTTTCTGTCCATATATGGAAGTTCTTTTATTTTTTTAAGTTGTTTTTGTCTTTGAAGGCTGATTCACATTTCAGAGTAATTTGGCATTTTGATCATACAAAATGCCAAGGATGCAAATAAAAGCCAAGCATGCAAAATGAACCTTTTGTACCGTTTGTCAACATAAGCAAGAATTAGATTTTGCTGCTTGAAGACTGCTTTCACAGTGAGGCATGTCTTTCACCTTCATAATAAACCCCAGAGGTCAAAACATAGTGGTATAATACTTATCATCTTCAAATTTAAATTGAGACAATAATTCTTGCTCTTCCAAAGATGGTTTTCAAGTTGTAATATATGGTGAACAGACACTAGAAATGCTAGCAAGGAGTCATTGCTGGTCTAAAACTGAAAAGTGAATACAAAACACATTTAAACGTGACACGTCTGTCACCTCTTTAAACACGTAATATGATGACCCTGTTCTGCAAATCCATCACCACGATACATATTGTTTCACAGAAAACAGACAACAGATGGAGTGAGAGGTGAGCCAACGATAACACCACCACTCAAAACTTCCAAAGCGCCAAACACAACTCATGTTTCTAAACGCTCTCACGCTGATCATGTAGGCAGAAAGGACTCCTTGCCTCCATCATAGCACTTGCAAAGACAGGAACAACAAAAGACTCTGCAAAAATTACTATCATCATTTTGAAGATGAAAATTATTTGGATTCAGAGCAACCTGTACACAAGAGCAATCACAGAAACACAAACATATACACTAAATCATAAACATCAATTATGGTTACTAACACTTTGCAGGTATGAGAAGACATTTGGTTAGCTACTAATGCTTTAAATCTTGGTCTTTTTCAGTTGATCAAAACAGTGAGTGCCACCTACACATACAGGATGCAGGATGAAGTACCCAGAGATACAGACAACACGATCAATTTTTCATTTGAAATTGCAATTGCATAGCAACTCCCTTAATTGACACCATTTACTCCACACAGTCCACTATACCAGCTAAAGGAAGTTAACTCACATAATCACAGAATGGTTTGGGTGGGAAGGGACCTTAGAGATCATCAAGTTCCACCCCCTGCCATGGGCAGGGACACCTCCCACTAGCCCAGGCTGCTCAAAGCCTCATCCAGCCTGGCCTTGGACCCCTCCAGGGATGGGGCATCCACAGCTTCTCTGGGCAACCTGGGCCACTGCCTCACCCCCCGCACGGGAAAGAATTTTTCCCAATATCTAATCTAAACCTACCCTCTTCCAATGTAAATCCATTACCCCTCGTCCTGTCACTGCATGCCTTTTTAAGAAGTCCCTCCCCATCTCTCCTGTAGCCCCCTTCAGGTATTGGAAGGCCGCTATAAGGCCGCCCTGGAACTCATAAGTAAGCCCTCACCAGTAAGTTAGCTTACCAAACTGCAACTGCCTGAACCTGGAACAATGTATTTCCTTTCTCTATACACGGGCCTTGCTGTCCTTATTCACTCCCGTAGCAGCCACCTGCCAAACCTCTCCAGTATCTCCCCACACACATAAAGATCATGCAAAGACACAAAGCAGCCCGAATGCAAGTGCCTGTTCCTACGCCCCAACAGCAGGTCACGCCCCACTATCCCATTCCGCTTTCCAGGTGGTTCCCACCAGCCTGCTCGAGAGGCCAGACTACCCGCGACTCCGGCAGTGAAATCAGAGCACAAAACCTACTCCTGAAAGGGATCCAGAGCTCATCGCTGACATTGCACGGGAATATATCTTAAAACAACATTTTTAAAATAAAAAAGATACCTAGGAATAACCTGAAATCCTTGTTACTTTAGGCCTTGCAACTAAGTCTTTATAAACATGATTAAATTATATCAGGAGAAGAAGCTTAACTGCACTGCCTACTCACATGGGAGATGCTTTTCAAACACTATTTTCACAGCTCAAAGTCCATAAACCATTTATATTGAAATGCATTTCACAGGATTCGGGCAATAATGTTACTGCTTTAACAGATGGCTGGCCTACAACAAAATATACATTGTTTTCCTGCAGAAAACATCATTAACAGACTCAGTGACACACGGTTTCCCCTAGCTACATGCCATACACCATTGTTTGTTCATTTTGGATCTGAAGTGGGGATATTCAGTAACCAATGTCAAAGAAGAAACAGCTACACTTTAAAAGTATATACTGAAAAGAATATTCAGAGTACTGCAGTTCTGGTGAGAATCTG